AAGGGTGTTCGGCATCTTGTGCTTACTTCCTTGCGTACGGATGGCAGCTGCGTATGGCTCAATTTATTGTCTGGTGCTTTCAATTCCAGAGACAGTGATAAGCACTGTGTCACTGCCTCGAGGGTGCTTGAGCATGTTAACACAACGTGGTGCGATCATCCCCCTTGCGCGGAGTGAGGGTTCTCGACCCCGCACAACAACATCTACTCGACCACCATTATGGTCACCGCAACAACAAAAAACTAAGGCAGAAAAAAAAAGCGGTGTAACCTGGATGTCGAGCTCACGAAGTGATAGGCTTCTTTTATAACATCGCTGCCACGCGACGAAAACCCTACCCCAATGGCAAACACCAGGTGAAGGGGGGGGGGTGCTAATGTCATGTCTTAGCGGTGAAACCATTGGCCAGGGGGATTTTTCGTTGCCGTGGTTCTCCGACAGAGTAACTTGGCCTCCGAAGACAAGATTGGAGAATTGAGGAGGCGGGCGTGTCGGGCGGGGGCCAGAACGGTGATCAACATGGGCACAAAAAACAACATCGACAATTAACAGCTACAACACCAACACCAAAGAGGACAAAACGATGACCACATACCAACATCGGCAACAAAAAAACACACCACCAAAAACAACACCAACAAAAGCACCAGCGATAACAACCACGACACTAGGTTCCCCCACCTGCGCGACGAGGTGCAGGTACTCCTCCCCGGAGTGCCTCCTAGGGTCGATGCCGTACCGCGTAGCGACGGCGTCGAGGCTCACATACCCCGGGAACTGAACCGCTGTCTCCACGAGCTGGTCGATCATCTTCGCCGCCACTACCTGAAGTGGTGTGGGATTGGATTGGTCGTTGAGGGGGGAACAATGCCCGCACACACCCAAGAACGGCGACCCGAAGACATAGCCAATCAGAGCCAAGCAGCAGAGCGTGAGACAAGAGCGAAAACATTGAAGCCATGCGCTGCCGTAAGATATCCCTTTCGAGCGGTTCTACCATTGCACGTGCAGTATTGTCACCGCTGGTGCACCACGTTCTCCCTCCCCCCGGAGGCAATACACAGGTCACCGCGGTGGTAAGCCCGGTATGGGCCGCACAAAAAAAATCCATCCGGCATCCGGCGCCCTCCCCAACGAGATGCGGCTACGATTGGTGTGTGGTAATTTTCCAGCTTCTCCGAAGCATCTGAAGAACACGCCCCCAAAAAAATAGAGCAGTGGCCAAAATCGGGTACAACCGGTTAGAACACGGCCATAATCGGGTACCCCTACAAGACGCTGCTGAGAGCGACCGCATGACACCATCTGATTGGCCGACGCCCACTCCTATCCGACCTTGACCGTCTTTCCACCGGGTGCACCCGATCTTGACTATTCGCCGCCCAGAGGGATACCCGGTTTTTCTTTCCTACCCGATAATTGACTGGGTTGTTCGACCAAAACCCATGCATACAATCACGGGTCGGACGCACACCACTTGCCCTCGTTTGTCGCCAACGAGAAAGTAGCGGGAGGGAGGGAATATAGAATGTCTATTTTTTATATGGGTCCCGTGTTTGTCGCATCTCGTGAGGGAGGCATTTTCATTCAGCTCTTCTTCTCGATCATTTGCACACACCGCCTGCCGTTTCCCCCAAGGGAGACTTCCACTGCCGGCAGGGGTCTGCCTCCGCCCACCGGGCCGTCAGAACGTCCGAATTCGAGGGCAGGGCGTTGGTGACGTGTACGTGTGTGCATGGGTTCTGGTCGAACAGCCCAGCCATTTTCGGGTAGGGGAAAGGAAAAACGGGTAACCCTCCGGGGGGTGAGAGCCAAGATCGGGTGCACCCGGTGGAAAGACGGGCAAGGTCGGGTTGTGGCGGGCGTCTGCCAATGAGATGGTGTCATGCGGTCACTCCCATCCGCATCTTGTAGGGTCACCCGATTATGGCCGTGTTCTGACCGGGTGTACCCGATTTTGGCCACTGCTAAAAAAATATGTACCTCCCGCCCCTGACACAAACGCCTTTTTCTTCTACGAGCTCTGGTGGAGGGGGTGACGTCACCTGAGTATCGTACGAGGCCTGCCCGATGTCATTGCAGATGGCGAGCTTGAGGGCTTGGTTTTGGTCGTCTTGCCTAGCGGGGATGATCCCCGGAGAGTCCAGGAGTTCCAGGTTTTGCTCAGGCTGTGTTCCGCGGGAGGGAGGGAAAAAACAACACGGAGTATGGAGCAATACGTGGAAAAATTCAGGGACCGGTCCAGATGAACGTGCCACCACCGTACTCTCAATCGTTAAGTGCCAGTTGTAGGAACCAGCGTAGAGCGTGTGTGCCTCCAGCTGGTACTATCAAAGCCGTAAGCACCAGCCTTCCTTTCGGGCAGGCAAGCTGTGTTTCTGAGAGAGTTGTTAGAGGCCACGTCCCTCGAAAAACGGCCGAATTGCTGCAGAATGCACCCTGCGGTGCAGTAATCGTGCACACACACGGTGAATCCTTGGGTGAACATTGGCGTTTGTAAACCACCGCAACAAATCAGACACTACCATCGCCAACAGAAACGAAATGACAGCAGCGCATCATCAGTAGCTACAAAGCACTATTATTAGCACAATAACTACATCTAAACAACAACACCAGCCACCCCCCGGACAACAAACAACGCGTCAAATCACATGCTCGTCCTTTTTGCCCTTCCCAGACGGGTGTACCGAGCATTAATCGCCTGAACCCAAAAACTATGTGACGGTTCGAACGAAACGCCTCCTCCTCCTCGGCACACCTTGGTGTCCTTCCCGCCGAGCCGCACCCAGTTCATCTTCTTGGTGACGCCCGGCTTGTTCATGGACTTGGCCACCTTCTTTCCGATGAGCCTGTTGATGAGAGCGCTCTTCCCCACGTTGGGGAAGCCGATCACGGCCACCCGAACGCTCCGCGGATTCATGCCCCGGCGAACCCGCCGATCGTTAACCCTGGACCCGGCCTTGAGCGCCGCCTTCTTGATCTGGATGTGTCAGGGAAATCCGGCGGGAAGTAGATACAAGTGACAATTCCTACATTGAAAATACGTATAGTCTAAACATACAACCACGGCAATACTACGTGGTCGAGATATTGCCATGATCGAAGGGGATATGTTAGATGGAATCTTGGGATACTACTGTAGGTGTGTGATATCATCTGGTACGCGCCTTTAGGGGGCCCGGGGCTCGACGCGGGGTTCAAGGGAGGGTTCAGCAGAGCACATATTGTGTGTCCTGTGGGCTTCATCTTCCCGTTACACGACCACGCACCTCGTGCACCCCCCTGCCGCGCTTGGAGTCAACGAAGAAGACGGGAACGTTTCCCCCGCGGTTGTCAGCACGCAGGCCACCCTCAGCCACGAGGTACTTCTTCCACTGCTCCACGGCAGTGGGGGAAGCGGTGTCCACTCGGTTCAACACCACGATAAGAGGCCTACTTGAAGGGAAGAAACGTCAACGGTAGATAGTAGGCGGGGGGAGGTGGCCGACGAGGGCGTGTGAGAACGGGTAAGGCGGGTAGGGTTAGGGTTATGGTTAGGGTTAGGGTTGGGGGTGACGGACAAGGCCCACCGGCAACGAGAACCATGCGGCTTGCAGGTACAACAAGAAAACCGGAGGCGCGCCCCCCTTATAGTAGCGGGCGTCAAGTGAAGGGGGGGGGTATCCCCCCACCAACACACCACCCCATACCGCATCCATCTCACCCTCGCACACTCAAGCCCTGGCAAAGCACCGCTACCAAGCGTCGTCACCTTTTGCCAACCCACGAAGGGACCAGCTGGTGTGTTGTGGCGGCGGGAATGCGGCAGTCGCGGACCTCGACCACTACGTCCACCATGTTGAGATAGTCCTGGAGCTGCCGCTCCGCCTTGGCGATGTGCCCCGGATACCTGTCGAGGTGTTTTTTCGCGCGGCGATGAGTAGTGGGTAGGCAAGTAGGCAAGCAGACACGACGCCGCTACACTATTATCGGCGATCTCGACAACCAGAACGCTCTTCATGTTGTGCCGGCATTGCAGCTACATCGAGCCCAAGCAGGAAGTGTAGGAGCAGACGGCACCGGCCAGGGTGCTGGTGCGATAGATGGCATGCGATAGCTTTGTTCGTAGGCTACATATCTGCTACATGGACAAGGGGTGGGCCGGTACCTGAAGAACAGATGTTCAACGAATGTCCACGCAGCGCCCCCGTGTTCTTAGAAACAAACGTGAGATATGTATTATTATAGTATTAGGTCCTCTGACACGTTGACGGAGTTTGCCCTGAGGGACAGGCTTCACAACAGTGCGCAACGCACACGCTGGAAAACTCAACACAGAAAAACCTTACGGGCCGCATGCCCTTCGCCTGATACACAGTGTCTCTCAACAACCTCGCGGGCTGCACGTCCTTAGCCTGTGATAGGCCTGTCAACCAAATCCCGGCCTGTCATGAAATCATGACAGTCTCGGCCGCGTCTGCTGTTGGGGCGGTCACGCGGTCACCCACCAGTTGATAACATGCTGTCCTTGCGCGTTCATTTTTCCCTCGTCGAAGGGGTCGATTGCAGGGCCGTCCTCTTTATCCAGCCAGCCCGCTGCCATGACTGCCGTCGACAACCCGCCTCTGCCCGTCACCCTTCTCCCCCCGTGCTGCTGCTGCTGTTGCGCTCGTCTCACAAGGCCACTTGCTCCACCGACGACACGCGATGCAGCACTACCTGCGAGGGCTGTCGATGGCGACAACAGCACAGAAGAAGCGGTAAACGCCGAGGCCGATGGCATGGTTCCAGGGGGGAGGAAGAGGACGAGGAGGCAGGCAAGCGCGGAGGAGGCGAGCGCTGCTGCCCCAGCCCCGGATTGCCTGGGCCGCCGCCTGTTGGGTCGTCGACCCCCCTGCCGTCGTTGCAGTACGATGTTGCTGTTGCTGCCGCCCATGATGGCGTCCTTGGGATCTGTTCGCCTTCGCCGCGGCATCATGTTGGCTCCACTGGTGGCGTTTTCCACAAAGACAGCAAACATGGCCGTCTTGGCCTTCGTTCGACTCCGACAGCAGCAGGGCAGGGTTGAAGGTGAGGACAACGATGCAACTTGGACGACCCAAGGGCCTCCGCCAACTGTACTATAGATTGATTGCTACAGGTACCCACATTTCACAATTTTCACTGTCCAAGGGCCCCCGCTGCGGCCTGCGGGGTGCGTGTGCGCGCTGTGACACAGACAGAGTACACACATCCTACGAATGTGCCATGGGATCATCTGGTTCGAAGCCAACCGAGCCTCCAGCGGCTACTCCCAGCTCTTCGCAGATCCTGGTACCCGTTTCAGGGACCGCGGAGCCACCGAAAGTCGGCAAGTCGGGCAAGAAAATTTGCTGTTCCTGTCCAGACACAAAAGCGGTGCGTTTGGCGGGATGAAAAAATACAGAGATATCTGGCTTTTGTGCTTCCAACGCTGACTAGTGGTTGCTGTGAGGCTGACGCAGTTGTTGTTGTGCCAGGGTTCTCTGCTGGCAGAGGATGCTGAATAACCTCTGTTTGATGTTGAGCAAATGTAAGCGGTGGGACGTTTCTGGCGTGCACTGACTGTGCTCGAATCGTGTGGTGTGCACGAGGCCTTTCTGCCCAACGAGCGGACGGCTGGAATTTCTTTAGGACAGCCGTAGGACGTAAGCAGCTTCTGACGCAACGTTTGGTACTTCGCAGCAGCAGCAGCAGCAACAGCAGCATTGTGCACAATCCCATCATTGATTGAAACACAGGTCTTGCGCCCGTTGCGCAGGTCCAAAATAGGTAACTGCTGCTGTAGACTTCAACCGCCGCACTTGTTGGTTGTGCCTGCTCTCCGGTATCTGAAACCTCTGTACTCAGACACGCGGCAGCGCTCACGCCTGTCGTTTTCTCTTTTGCAACTATGTGTACATTGCCATACAACCACAGCGGTGTAGATTATGTGCCACGAGTTCTGTTGGCCGCTTGGATTCTCCTATTCCTCGGCCGAGCCAAACCACCCAAACCCTCTGGAATACAACCCCCGCGACGTCCTGCAAGAGATCTGAAAGCCGCTGAAATGGCCGACACCATGTAAATATTCCTGTAGAGCAGTAGTTCCGTGTGTGTTGTGCTTCCGGCCCTCGCTTGCTGTCGCGGTTTCCTGGAGAAGGGTGTACGCGGACACTTGACGTGGCCTCCCGTAGAGGTGACGCGAGCTGATCGTTTGGTTAGCCATGGTTGTTGGCAGAAACTCGTTTTAGAAGGCTCCGAGCCGCCGTGCGACGTGTTTCGCCTTCTAACACGGCGGTGAGCACAGGTGTCATCAGTTCACCTTCTCTTTTGACATCATGCATTTCGCGTTCTCGAAGGTGTCACCGTGATGTTTCCCCCGTATCTAGTGTAAGAGCCCCTCTGAGGCTGTATTACGGTTAGGACCGAGTCGGACCATGATTTCCCGTTCGAAGAGGTTCGAAGGTTCAACCCCGCTCCAAGAAGGATGGCGGAGGTGTGCCGGTCTTACCTTGAGTTGCAGATGTAACATATCGAGTAAAACCGTGGCAGGGCTGTGATCGATCAAAACTCTTGCTCGACACCATATGTTGGGAGCAAAAAAATAATCTTTGAGAACTGAGCCCTTGCCGTCACTTTCAGATTTTCTTGTATTCAGGATAGCTTTGCAGCATAGCACACATGCATGGGTCCTGAATAGCTATGCCGTGGTCTCTCCTGCGAGGCACTAATAGCTAGATTGCCGTCCCTTGTGCCTTGAAATGGAGCCCACGAGTTTTTTCTGCCCCTCCCCCCCCGTGGAGGTGGCGTGGCTTGTGCATCACGTTTGGCGGTGATGAAGAACGCGCATTCTGTGACCCTCTCATTCAGTGCAATCTTTTGTTTTCTTTTGTGTTGTTCGGTGGGGTTTGTAGCATGACTAAGGAGGCTGTGATCGATCAAAACCTTTTCCCGACACACATCGTGGGGGCAAAAAAAAATAATCTTTGAGAACTGAGCCTCAGTTTCGCACCCTGCGCACCTCCAAGTTCTTCTTTTTGGGCGCAACAACAATGGAAAAGCTGCCCCGTTGTCTGCATCTGTGCATACCTGAACAACCGTTCCGTTCTCCGGCGAATGTTTTTTGGGCGCACACGCATGCACCACATTTTTTGTTCTGTTTTGTCGTCTGATAGCAAGGCGTTCTTTGTTTCCAAGCTTGCCAACTTGACGATACCAGCCTGTGAGGAAAGAACTCAAGATGATGAACTTCTGGAGTTGGGGAGGGGTGCGGCTCGCATGGGTCGTGGCCCCTCTCTAGTGAAGATCCAACGACTCCAATTGATCCGTCCGAGGCTTGTGTACCACACATAACCCCCGTCGCTCCTTGTTGTCGGAGCATTTGCCGACGAAACCTTCTCTCTCGTCGTGGTCGCGCTTCGTCTGCTGGGCTGTTGAATTCGAGTAACGAACAACATGCTGCTCGCTGCACGTAGATTTTTTCTCGAGCCAGCAGCTTTGTGACGGTCAAGCGATACCGGAATGTTTTGCATACCACACCGGACAGTATGGTGATGTCACAATGTGGCCCTTGCCGTACCAGTCCACTTTGATCTAGTACGCGGGAGTAAACAGTTTCCATCCCTGCGCGATGAAAGCGTGATTGCTGTCTGGGGAATGCTATGCTCCTGTTTTCGTGTTTTTGCTTGACTGGTGGACCTTGTTGACCTGCGAGAGATATAGGTTGGCTGGCCGGTGAAGAAAGAACTCAAGATGATGATTTTCTCGATTACAGGGAGACTGGCCGTGTTTGTTGATGGCCTCGCCTCCTCGCATGAAGATCCAACGACTCCAATTGATGCGTCCGAGGCTTACCATGGGCCTTTGTCTGCTTTCTTTTTTTCGTTTGTGATTGTGGTTCCAGAGTCCACTGCATTGCTGGCATTCACATGTATTCCTGCATGTGTAGTGTCTGAATAGAAATGGAAAACTCGAGAGTGTCGCAACCGAGCACAACGTGCGTCTGTGTGTTGAGAGCAAACGCGACCTACACATTTTGTTATTACTTGTCCGCGAAGCGCGGTCGATTCGTGTTGACTACACAACTACCGCAGTATACAAGCGTCGGCTGCGTGAAGAGTAGGTGTTCGCGCGATATAATTGGCGCTGCCGTCCGGCGATTCCATGGTATGCCGCCCGCGTCTGGCGGGTCGAAGGCGCCTGGCTTTAGCGCTAGCAAGCATATTGGCAAAACGCGTGCGTGTGTGTTTGTGTACCCGAGGTGTAGAGGGCCGGTGAGGAAAGAACTCATGATGATGATTTTCTCGATTCAGGGAGACTGGCCGTGTTAACTCACGGCCTCACCTCCTCGCATGAAGATCCAACGACTCCAATTGATCCGTCCGAGGCCCCCACCGATAGCGGCGTACCATGCCACGCCATCCCACATCTTGTTGTTGATGCGAGAAATGAGAGGTCCAACTCGCTTTGCGATGTAGGCCTGTGACCTGTTGCACTGCGTCACAAGAGGGTGCGATTGAAAACCCCACCGCCCGGCACGTGCTAGGAAAGAGAGCTCTGGCCATGTGTTTTCTAGACCCACCACCCATGGCACTGTTGTATCCTGTTGGTTGTGGTAAAATGGAGCTTTGAACATCGATCGCGCCTATGCACCCTTTATATAGCACTTATGCGGCACTCCTGCATTACAACAGTGGATTTCACGTCTATTTCGGTTGCTGTTCTTTGCTGATTTTGCTTCTATCTTCGTTCTCCACCCCCAACCGCAGGCTAGGGACGACTGTGTCATCTTGAACGGCGAAGAGGAGTGCAAGAATTTCATCGAGGCGCACAAGGAATGCCTGCGTTCGGAAGGCTTCGACATCCGATAGCACAACGAACGCGCTGGAGAGGCTTGCGCCTGCTGCGTGCGAATAGTCATTTGCGTCGTATCGCCGTTGGTTCTTGTGCATACTGGCTGTGCCATCGGCGAACGTGTTTGGACTTCGAAGACGATTCGTTTACGATGTGTTTCATTCGTTGTAACACCCTCCAGTAGAGCTATGATTGGGTTTGTCATCCCCCTCATCCCGGACGCCGTTCTTTACACCTTCCGGTGAAATTTCTGGACGCAGTAGCTGGAGTAGACAAAAAGAAAAGGAAGGCCACACAGCACAAGTTTGAGTAGTCAGCGATTGCATTGCTCTTTTGTTTCTTGCAACACGACCATACGGTTCCTCCGTGAAACGCGCGTGGTTTGTTTTTGGTGTACTGTCGGGGGTTTCGTGGGGAGCTTGCGGGCAGGGCAATAAACCTCTTGTATGTAGTTGGTCATGTCAAATTTCATACATCTAGAGAGCCAGGAGGCCAGGAGACGCAAGCATGGGCTTCGAGCAGAGAGTTGTTTTTTTGCCGGGACTAGTGTAGAAGACCCTTTTTTGTGTGTGGTTTCTGATGTATGTGTTGTTGTTCGTGGTGGAATCTATGCTCAGGTGTGAAGAGAGACGCAGCGGTACGATAGTGAGTAGGCATGGCCAGCTAGGGTGCCCCCTCATTTGCATCTTGATAATAGAGAGAGGACATGTCCGTCCAGTGTGCCCCTCGCATTTTGTAAGAACTTGTGTTATTTTTCTCGCGTTTCGTGGAACTTTGCTTCGTACCACCTTTTTGGGCCCGTAAGTGCTGCAGGAGAATTAAATCTCTTTGACAAGGAAAGCGCGGGAGATGATGGGTGGGGTGTTGGTCAAGAGACCGCACGGGGGATTTCTGCCCCCCTGCTACGTAACGCCTCCAGCGAAATGTTCATGGTTCATTGTCGCACCTGTTGAAAGCTAGCTCGCTCTGAGAGCTATTATTAAAAGCCTTCCGTTATCCATGTTGCGTGTTCCCCGCAAGCGTAACTCAGGAGGGCACGGGGATTGCAATCCCATACACCTATGCTAATAAATCACGATAAGGCGAAATCCTGGGGGAGAGGGGGGCGGGGGTCGTGGTGTAGTTCTGAGGGTATGTGTGGCCGCACGGGGCCCCTCCGATGCCGTATTTTGACCGCCTTTTGTACCTTCACAGCGGTGGAAGGCCACGACGAAAGAGGCACACACATCGCTGGGTGTTTGAACACGGACGTTGTCGTCAAGTGGTCAGCGTTTTATGGCGACGGCGGCGTCCAATCGCCAACAGAAAGCAGAATAAAAATGGAGGTCGGCGGTCTGCAGGGAACATAATGCTCGTCGCAGTGGGTCGAGCCCCGCGCAACGACGTACGAACAGCACGTGGAAGCCCCGGTTGTTTACTTCTGATCTTGTTGAAGCCTTTGCTGCTGTACGTACTATCTACCTCTATGCACTCAACACTTCTTACTTGCTGCCTGTCGAGCTTCCGCATCATCACAGCAGTAGTATGACTACATGATATATATACGAATACATATGTAGACTATACATACTACGCTGTTGTAGGTGCGCGAGAGCGCCCGCACATTGCGGGAGAAGGGACGATACCCCTACATGGTGACGAAGGCAAGCCCGAACTGCCTCAAAATCGCCTCCCCCACACCCCCCCGCTGCCTACGAACTTCACCAGAGAGCATTCAGCAACCAATGAGGTCGTGTATCCGACAGATCGACAAAATCTCGATAAGCCAAAAATTCGACCGGGGGGGGGGGGGGGGGGGGGGGG